TCCGCTTGTTGGGAGAGCTTGATTTGTAGAGTGCATCTACGCTTGTTGGGAGAGCTTTGCACTGAGAAATGTAACGTAATCTCCTCTTATGAGTGATTGACTAAACCATAATCATGTCTGAAGCTGCATACCCAAGAGATAGTCCTGACTATGAAGCTAAGTTGCGGCCATCGATTGGTAGAACATCGATGACGAGGTTTGCGACTGTCTATTCTGGCATCCGTTGCAATGGAGCGGCGATGCGAGTTGCTTCGTTGGCATAGTTTGCAGTTTGCTATATACAAGGCTCCAGTTGGTGAAGCCGACCTTCGATTTATACGGGGTGCTCCGGTCAATTGAGCTGACGGTTTGCTATATACAAGGCTTCAATTGGTAAATCCGATGACTCATTTGTACAGGGTGCTCCGATTAGTTGAGCATGCGGTTTGCTATATACAGGGCTTCAATTCGTGAAGCCGACGATCCATTTTGTACAAGATGTTCCGATAGTTTGAGTAGGTGGTTTGCTATACAGGTTTTCCGTATCAGCGGTCTGACTCCGAGGTACCTTCAAAGGATTTAAAGGTTAGCTTTAGCTGTACCAAAAAAATGCAAGTAAAGGAGAAAGATAGAAAATCTTAGGCAAGTGGCGGATCCATCATTTGCCCCAGTATGGTCTTAGTGGTTTCTTACTCCCCGTTGACCCTGCACCCAAAGACAAATTCTTAGTGGGGGCGAGGAAGTTGGTTTGTGTCGACCATAGTGTTGGTTTGCCTCGGCCTTTGACATGATTGCGCCACAAAGTTCGGTAGATGGAATAAATTACTGTATATATGTATATATATATGTTTTTTGGTTTTAAAAACATTTTGAAAATACTTTGTTCCGGATTAAGACATGTTACGAAAGGTTTTCCACATACAAGCATATCCTCTTGAAAACTTTATCCTGTTGATGTTGATTTTTAGTGATGCTTCTGATAACACGGCCGCTTGCTGTCGCGGTTGCATCCTAATTTGAACTAATGCATTACAAGGCTTTCATAAGGTTATGACCGAACCCTTTTAGGTTGCCTATGTATTCGAAATGGAATCAGGTCTGAACATAGTTCGTGGATTATTATAAAATACGATGAAGATGACCGAGCCTAACTCAGGCAACCTACGTATCCAAATGGAATCAGGTCAAAGCGTAGTTCGATTACAACAGATACAAAATTATGGGATTTAAGAATGAAAATGGCCGAGTCTGACTCAGACTGCCTACGTATCCAAATGGAATCAGGCCAGAACGTAGTTCAATTAAAAAGGACGACTAAATTCGATGAGGATTTCCTATGTATTCCTTTCCAAGGAAATCAAGTCGGTGTAGTTCCTGAGCAACATACAAAAGTGCTATTTGGTTTTTCTATTACAAGAGAAGGGGGAGAGAAACCTCACCCTATATGGATTGACTATGTATCCCTTCGCAGGAAGTCATGTTGAACGTAGTTCTGTTATATAAAAACCTAACTCTATTTGTCTTCAAACATAGTATCTCTTGATTGCGTCTGAGTTGATGGGCTTCATGTTGACTCTTCCATCCATTTCTTCCAAGATTAGAGCTCTACCAAACAGTGCTCGGTGAACCACATGAGGACCTTTCCAGTTTGGTGCGAACTTTCCTTTTGCTTCTTCTTAAAGGGGAACGATTTTCTTCAAGACCAACCGCCCCGGTGTGAATTGGCGAGGCTTCACTCTCTTGTTAAATGCACTGGCCATCCTGTTCTGATATAGCTAGCCGTGGCATACTGCATCCATTTGTTTCTTGTCAATGAGCATGAGTTGCTCCTGTCTAACCTATATGCACTCTGCATCATATAATTTTGCCTCTTGAATGACACTTAATGTCACGACCCAAATCGGAGGTACGCGATGGGCACCCAATGCCTTACTCAACCGAGTACCCCGCGTATATATATTTTTATCATACAATCATTTATAAATGGGACGGAAAGGTAGTCATGAGATAACCAGTATAAAACATAAGGGAATAATCGACATAGGAATACTCATAATGATATACAAACTTATGCATGTGACATACGGGCCTATAAGGCCGACATGAACATTTTTACTCTCAAAACATATGCCGACTAGGACTTACCAGCATCATTATACATGACATATATCTACAATACTCTAAGAGTACATAAACGTCATAAGGGTCGGGACAGGGTCCCGCTATACCAATCAATACATGTCCAAAGCATACTGACCAAATAGTCAATCCCTGAGAAAGTGGAGTGCACCAACACCTTTTGCTGAGCTGATAGCCTAATAGGAGGACCATCAACCTGTCTATGGGAACTTGCGGGCATGAAATACAGCGTCCCCAGGAAAAAGGGATATCGGTACGAATAAGAATCGCAATGTAAAGAGAGATAGAGAAGATACAATCTGTAACATCTGAGTGCCTCTAAGGGCTACATAAGGTTTAAAACCATTTGCCTTTGTGGGCATCATCATCATCATATCTTACCCTGCCGTAATAGCTCGGTAAAAACGTACCCGGCCACATGGAGCTCGGTAAAAACCAACTGATCAGTGGTTGCACACTAGGTGTCGTACCTGGCCGACTATAACACAACTTGGTAGAGTAAAATAGATACATATATATATAATGCATGCTGGACTCATGGAATCACGTTCTAAACCTTTTGGGAGTAGCGTAAGGTCATTGCACCTTTGATTAACATAATGGACATCCATACCATCAATATGAACCTCAATATGATTCAAGGACCCTACATACTTGCTTAGAATAACTTTATAAGGAAAGAACAACATGGAAAACCTTAGTTACTAGGAGTAGATCCGTTATGAAATAGCGTATCGTTTACGTTCATTTCATTTAGATCATGCCAAAATAAAGAAGTGCCTTAACATACACGTATGATCTCTTCCTTATTACTCAACCAAGCTCAACACAATTCTTGCATCTACAACAAGTGAAATGATATTGCCATCAACATATAATGTCATACCATCGTATTTGGCTAGTCATATGGCTTACGGAAAATCGGGCAGCAACTCCCATATTTTTAATACATCCCAAAGACCACTCAGGTCATCAAAATCCCAAAAACAACAACTATTACCAACAATAGCAACAACAACCATATAATCCAATATGAGCTTCTACGATTATCTTAACAATCATATTGAGCGGCAAGCTCATTTTTACTAATAACAAAATATAAACTGAATCCAAATCTATTTCCATAAATTATTTTACAACCTTTACAACATCATAATTATATGTATTATATTATTCCTAGTTCAAAACATCCACAAAATGCCTTCCGAAACAGCCCCATACGCCTAGCACTTTAACTTTTATCGTCAATCACTTGTTTTTCACCTTTTCTTCTTCAATCAACTTAATTAACACCTAGAAAAGCTTAACAACAACAGCCACAATATTATCAAATTATTTCTCATAATTTTCAGCCACCACAAACCATATATTTTGCCCCAAACCGGTTCAACCAAAAAGATAACCATATCCCATGTTCTTTCAAGTGCTATCTTATGGTTTTTCACTCAAACAACACAACCAATGCAAGATTAACCTTAGGCAAAATCAAGAAGATGTTATAAATACCTTGGACAACATCTACAACTTGAAACCCCATCTCAACTTAGCTCATAATAGCCCTTAATCACACCACAACAGTATAGAAATGTTCTCTTGTAGTCTTTAACACTTTTGATGATGATTTGAATTGATTTCCCTTGAGTTCGGTTCTTAGATCTAGGATATATGTTAGAGAGGGTTTTGGAGAGCTTTTTGGATGAATTTTGGGTGATAAATGACCCGAAATGAGGCTGAAACATCTTTTAAAAGAAGTAAGGTCCGTGGCCGTCTCAAGTGGGTCCCAACCGGAGCTTCTTGTGCAGTCTCGCAAAAATACAAATATCTCTCTACTCTGATTTCATATCGATAAACAATTTAATTCATTGGAAACTAGACTCGTAGATCTTCAATTTTGTGGGTAGATAACCCCGTAATTCTAAGTACATTGATAGAAAATCTTAGTAAAATTATACCTTAAGTTTCAGTAAAATAATGAACGTAACTTACGACAACTTTTGTCGACTTTTATTTCATAACTCGCTTGGCTTCAAAACATAACACGACTATCACACTACTAAAACACCTTATAGAATTACCTTTTTATCATCTTACACACCCTAGTATCACCCCACATGTACGGGTTATAACATTCCTAACTTGCCGACTTTCGACGAAACTTATTTTCTTTGTTTCGATTAGCTTCTTAACCTTCCAACCCTCACGATACTCTTAAAAAATTGTTTTAACCCATCATTATCTTTATAAAGGTCTTTCAACTCTTCGGATCATATTGATTCACTAAAGATGAATTCTAATATGAAAGTATGGGGTGTAACACTTAAAGATGGTATTTCAACCTCTGCATGTATCACAACATCAGTGTCGTATACAAACATATACGGCGTTGCTCCATTGGATGTTCTCATGGTAGTCCGATAACCCAGTAAAGTGAAAGGTAGTTTCTTGTGCCATTGTCTGTGATTGTCCACTATCTTTTGTAAAATTCTCTTGATATTTTTGTTGGCTGCCTCCACTGCCCCATTCATTTGTGGTTTGTAGGCTGTGGAATTGCGGTGGACGATTCTGAACTTCTCGCAGATTTATCTCATGAGGTCGCTGTTGAGGTTGGCAGCATTGTCAGTGATGATAGACTCTGGTATCCCAAATCTGCAGACAATGTTGTTTAAGATGAAATCTGCCAATACCTTCTTTGTGACGGCCTTGTAAGTAGATGCCTTGACCCATTTGGTGAAATAGTCGATAGCTACCAAGATGAAACAGTGTCCATCTAATGTAGTAGGCTCTATAGGTCCAATCACATCCATGCCACAAGCGACGAACAGCCAGGGTGAACCCAGTATGTTTAACTCATTCGGCGAAACCCAGATGAAATCCCCGTGAATCTAGCACTGGTGACACTTCTGCACATAGTGGATACTGTGGCTTTCCATAGTCATCCAAAAGTATCCAGATCTCAATATCTTCTTGGCAAAAGTGAACTCGTTCATGTGGGATACAAACGTTCCTCCATGTATCTCCTCCAATAATCCGACTACCTCAGCAACATCTACGCATCTTAACAAACCTATGTCTGGGGTCCTCTTGTACATGATTTCCCTATTGAGGAAAAAGTGGTTAGCCAGCCTCCTGAGGGCTTGCTTTTGACCATTTGTAGCATTCTCCGGGTATTCTCTGGTTGCAAGGAATTTCTTGATGTCGTGATACCATGGTTTACCATCTGGTTCCCTATCTACATGGAAGCAATAAGCATGTTGATCCCTGATCTCTACCTCGATAAAGTCAATGTAGTTCTTGTCTGGGTGCTGAATCATAGATAATATGGTTTCAAGGGCGTCGACGAACTCGTTCTGAATCCTGGGGACGTGGTTGAACTCAATCTTTGTGAACTTCTTTCATAGCTCCTTCTCACGGTGCACGTATAGAAGTATCTTGACATTCTTGATGGACCATTCCCCTTGGACCTGATGTATTAGTAGACCAGAATCCCCTATGACCAAAAGCGTTCTAGCATTCAAGTCGACTGTCATTCTGATCCCAAGTATGCATGCTTCGTATTCAGCCATATTATTGGCACAAGGGAATCTGATGTTTGCCAATGCTCGATAATGCTGTACAGATTCCGAAATCAGTACTGTCCAATTTTGACTCCTTTGAAGTTTGCTGCTCCATTGAAAATCATTCTCCATCTAGGGTACGATTTGGCAATATCTTCTACAGCAAATATCACTTTTTTATCCGGAAAATACGTAGTAAGTGTCTTAGTATCCCATCCACCGGATTCTCTGCGAGGTGGTCGGCTAAGGCTTGTCCTTTCATAGACTTCTGGGTTATATACACAATGTCAATTTACTGAGGAGAATTTGCCATTTAGCTAGCTTTTCGGTAGGCATCGACTTCTAGAAGATGTACTTTAGCCGGTCGAGCTACGATATCAGATGCGTAGTGTATGCTAACATATAATGCCTTAGTTTCTGGGAAATCCAAGTGCGAGCAAAACAAATGCGTTATATAAAAGTGTACTTGGCCTCGCATAGCGCGAACTTCTTACTTAAGTAGTAGATAGTCTGCTCCTTTCTCCCGGTATCGTCATGTTGTCCCAACACACGGCCGAAGGCGTTATCCAAAACTGACAAGTATAGTAACAATGGCTTCCCGAGTTCGGGGGGAATCATCACTGGTGGATTTGATAGATACTCCTTGATTATGTTGAAGGCTTTTTGACACTCTTCTGTCCATTTTGTGGCAACATCTTCCTTCAACAACTTAAAAATGGGTTTAGAGATTACCGCGGACTGGGCTATGAAACGACTGATGTAATTCAATCTACATAGGAAACTCATCACATCTTTCATGCTCTTTGGTGGTGGCAATTCCTGAATGGCCTTGATTTTTTATGGGTCCAGTTCTATTCCCTTCCTGCTTACAATGAAGCCCAACATCTTTCCAGCGGGGACACCGAACGCGTTGATGGGTTCAACTTCAAACTGTACCTTTGCAGGCGTTCGAAAGATTTCCTCAAATCGTCCAAGTGCTCTAAACTCTTCCGAGACTTTATGATGACATCATCCAGATACACATCAATCTCCTTATGAATGATGTTGTGAAAGAGGGTCGTCTAGGCCCTCATGTAGGCGGCGCCCATGTTCTTGAGACTGAACGACGTGACTCTATAGCAGTAAACTTCCCAGGGCGTAGTGAAGGTTGTCTTCTATGCATCTTCTTCATGCATCAAGATTTGGTTGTACCCAGTGAAACAATCCACAAACGACTGCAGTTCATGCTTCGCGCAATTATCGATGAGGATGTGAATATTTTTGCGGTCCATTATGAGATTGCATATCTGTTTTGTGGTGCACACTTTTGTCACAGATTTAGCATGAAAGATTTTAAAGTGTGATTCTGCGGTCCATTTCGCGGTCGCATAATTGGTATGCGGACCGTAGACCTGCCATAGACCTATCTAGACCAGCCTAGTTTTTGAGATCATTTTTGTGGTCCATTTTGCGGGCAGCATACCTATTCTGCAGTCCACTTTGAGATCGCAAAGTTGAGTTCGGAGGGTCCATTTTCTTGTTTTTATAACCCGACCTCATTTCTTATAAAATGACTTTGGGGTTATTTTGGCTGGGTAAAACACATATTTTAGAGAGAGAGAGAGAGAAGTGTTTTAGAGAGAGAAGAAGGATCCCTAAGTGCATGGATCATCAATCCCTGCCCCAGTCTTTAAGATTAAAGGGAATCATTCACTAGACCATCATGTACCCGGCAAGACCTTGTCCTAAAACCTTCATCCAATTGTTATGAGTTTAACTAGGTTATAGAGTAGGAGATAGGCCATGCATGTGACATTAGGTTTTAGTAGGTGGGATTGATGAACTATTTTGGATAGTTTCTTGTTGAAATTGGTTGAGGGAGAAAGGGAATACCATTGCAGAGCTTTGTAGTTTATTTTGCATAATAGGCGTTTGACAAACTTCCCAAGATAGTTATATCATGAGAATCCTTCTAATTATTATCCGATTTTCGCCATCTTTCTATAGATTGATATTGCTAGTAGTGTTGGAATATTGCAGTAAATTAAGGAAAGCTCAAAGCGAGGTATGTTTGCTAAACTTCTCTCTTAAAATTGAATCCCACGTTGTTCTCGTAAGTCGCAAGTATGATGGGTCAATTCGTTATTTCTCGTGTCTTGAGTTATTCATTATAAATTTGACTATTATGAATAAGCTTTGCGTCGAAAGATATATGTTTAAAATATGTTTTGAATGCTCTTGTCATATTATGTTATCATTCGA